CTCTCTCTCTCTCTCTCTCTCTCTCTCTCTCTCTCTCTCACACACACACACACACACACACACACACACACGCCAAGACGGGGTGGTGCTCGCCTAGCACGCCTGAGACCCAGCGCCCACCCAGGAAGGAAATAAACAAAGTGGAAAGGCCGCTCTTAGCCTGCAGGGTGACCAAGAGCGGGCAGCCCAGGGCACAGGCGTCAGTGGACACCCCTGGGGTCTCAAGAGACCCAGGTCAACAGGTGGCAGGGGACCTGGACTGATGCAGACACGGATGTTCAGACACAGGGGCTCAGGTGGCGACTTAGCCCCTTCAGGAACCTGCTGTGACCTCCCTGTGTGACCAGGAGTTTCCGTAATAGTTATGCCTTGCAGTGACTGGCAGTGACTGGGGTGGCACAGAGGTCAGCGCTCGCCTGGCTCAGGCAAGGCCCTGTGTCCGTCCCCAGCACAGCAAGGAAGAAACGGGCGAAAGAGAGGCACAGAATGGTAAGAAAATATAGAGTGGGGATGTCCTCTAGTCAGGCAATGCACATCCCCTCTGTCCCAGCGGTGCAGGATCATGAAGGTGACAGTCACAGGGTCACACAGACCGCAGGTATGATCAGTCAGCACAATTACAGTCAAGGTCATCACTCCTTTGATGGTTTTTTATGGGGTGCTGGGGTTTCACCCAGGGGTGATGCACCCCAGAGCTGCGCCCCTGGCCCCTTGTATTCCTCACTCTGAGAAGACGGGGCCTCTAAGTTCCCAGGCTGCTCTGGAACTTGGATCCTCCTGCCTCGGCCTCCAGAGCTGCAGGGCTGACAGGCGTGGCCACTGCACGGGAGCTAAGGATGGCGTTATTAACTGGGGTGTGGGGGGGATAGTCAAAAGGAGGGTAATATTTCATGACATGCGCAAGGTATACAGGATTCAGGTCCCAGTGCCCACACATGAAGTTTTATTGGCACAGGATGCTGCGGCGCAGTCACTCCTCTGTTATCTGCATCCGCTGCTGCACTCCCTTGAGGCCTGCAAAGCGGCAAATGTTGGGCCGGTGAGCTCCGTGGTTAGCGCCCTCCTGGCGCACAAGGGTCCTGTTTCCAACTCATCACTGGAAAATAAAACAACAACAACCAAAAAAAAAAAAAAAAAAACCCTGCAAATGTTTACCAACTGGCTCTCTTACAAAGTTTGCTGACCCCTGATTTAGATCAATAATAAACTTTATGGAGCACGAGCCCTGGGTCACTTGATGTGGCTCAGAATGGCTGGTACATAAAACACCCATTTGGGGAAGGAGGAAGATGAGGCACAGAGAGGTCAAATATCTTGCCTCAAGCCACACAGCAGGCACTCTGTGCTGGACATCACGGCCCCACCCAGATTACCTTGCCTGACTTCAGCTAGAGTGTGGCTGTTGGGGCAGCTCTGGGTCGGCGCCACAGCCGTGGCCTGGAGCCCCCTCTCCAAGACCTGGCATCCGCAGCTGTGAAATAGGGTTGCAAACAGTCCCCCACCCACCACGTTTCTGGAGGATCCAATGGGTCCTCAGCACAGTGCCTAGTATACAGTGGGGGCTCAATAAATGATCAGTGTGGTTTTAGTTGGGTTGGGCACTTGCCTGTGAACAATGGGGCTCTTTTTCTCAGAGAAGGAAGGATCAAGAGGGTGTGTGTCTGAAAGGATTCTAGGGGCGAGAATTTCTTGTGAAAGTTGAACTCAATCCCCATCCCAGCAACTCAGGAGGCTGAGAAAGGAGGACCGAAAGCTGCAGGCCAGCGTCAGCTACTTAGTGAGGGCCCACAACTTAGCAAGATCCTGCCATGAAATAAAAAGTGCAGAGGGCTGGGGGCGTGGCTCAGGGCAAATGCCCTGGGTAACCCCCCCCCAGATAAATAAGTTTAATCCGGTGTGCAGCGATCCTCCCTTCCTGATCCTCTTTTTTCCTTTCTTTTCTCTTTGGTGCTGGGGACGGAACCCAGAGGCTCACACGTGCTGGGCAAGTGCTCTGCCACGGAGCCACCCCCAGTCCTTTTTCTCCTTACTGTTTTGGGACAAGGTCTTGCTAAGTTGCCGAGGCTGGCCTCAAACAGGAGATCCTCTTGCCTCAGCCTCCCCAGTGACTGGGATGGCAGGTGAGGCCAGTGCACGCCGCCCTCCCCGGTGTGAGCCTGACCCAGTGGACCTGTCCTCACACGCTGGGCTTCTCCTGCACGCCCACGTCTCCCTGGGCTCTCCAGGGCCCCCTTCTCAGCTGGCAGGAGCTTGACGTAGCCCCGGGATCCGTCCTCAGGGTACAGACCAGGAACTGCGCCGAGGAGAGAAGCGGCATCAGAGCCCCGCAGGGTGAGCTGGGCCAGGAGCTGGGAGAGCCGGCGCTGCCTGGGCAGGTCCCCACCCTGGCTTGGAGTGGCCGTCCGTCTTGGGCCCTTTGCGAGGTGCCCTTCATCCTCCCCAAACTCATCCAAGCTGTTGGACCAGCGGCCGCGCCTGTCACCCCAGCTACTAGGGAGGCCGAAGTGGGAGAATCCCAAGCAGCAGGCCTGTCGGCAGCTCGGCGAGACCCTGGCTCAAACACAAACCACACAACAAGGGTGTGTGTGCTGGGACGAGCTCCGAGGTGAGCCTCGCCTAGCACGGTGAGGGCTGGGTCCAGCCCAGCTGCAAAACGGTCGGAGAAACAGAGAAGTACGAAGCCAGGGGACGGTCTGGACGTTCCTGGGACTGCGGGCACAGAACCCCGCCTCTCGGGGCAAACGCTCAGCACAGACTGTGACAGCCGAGGGAAGACAGTGCCGGCCTCCGCCGGGCCAGGCCCGGAGCAGATTAACTGAACAGAGAAGGCGGAGGCCTTCAGTCACCATCGCCGCATGAGAACTGTCACCAAAGTCCCCACAAGAACCAGAACTTTGCACAGAGGTCGCTGCAGCCTGGAACAGAATCACTTCTGCAGGGACCTCGGCCCAGCCACGGTGGACAGAGCACCCTCTTGACCGACCCCTGAGGCCAGGGGTGATGGCTTCAAAGTGACTGTGTGACTGTCCCTCTTTCCTCCGCCTCCGGGGATTTGCTCAGGGTCCCTCCACGGCCCACCCACCTTGCAGCCCTCTTGGGCCACCTGCTGGGGTGGACAGGCCAGCTGCGCTGGGGGTGGCGTGGGGACCCCGCCGGCGCTCCTCCCTCCCTCCTCCTCCTCCCCGGGCCTGCATCCTGGAGAGCGGGTGGGCTGACGGCCTTCCCCCGGCGGTCACCCAGGACCTCGGAAGGTGGCCTCATTGACAAGCAGGGTCTCTCCCGAGCTGACCAAGTTCAGGTGAGGCCCCTTCCCGGGCCTGTGCATCAGACGGAGTCCGTACAGGAGAAGGGGAGGCCGGCCGGAAGGAGGCCGGGAAAGCTCTGGGCGAGCCAAGGCCAGAGGCCTCCGTCCCCGGGACGCCTGGACTTGAACTTCCGCCTGCTCCACTGTGGGAGACGCTTTTCCGCTGCTGCGGCGGCTCCCGCGGTGGGGCTCCTGCCTGGGGACCAGAGGAGGGGCTGCCCAGGCCACCCCTGCAGCCAGCAGCGCCTCCGGCCTCCCTTCCCTGGTGAGGGGCTCGCCGTGCCCCCGGGACCCACCAGCCACAAAGCCATCTCCTGGATGAGCTGGTGGCTAGACACGAGGGGGGACAGGCCCGGGAAGTGGGGCTGGCTGCAGCGGTGGCTGACTCCCAGGAGCCTGCTGGCCTCCAACTTGCGGTCCTCTGGCCCCGGCCACCCCAGCTGCTGGGATGACAGGGTTCCCGTGCACCCAGCTGCGTGGCTGTCCCCCGCCTGGCCCCGGTGGACCTGCCCCCTCCTGTGTGAAGGCCACCGTCAGCACCTTCCGCTCCTGGAGCCCGGGTCCCCGGGGGTGGGGCGGGGAGGGCTTTGCCAATGTGAGGTCTGCGGTGTCCCCACGCCTGGCATGCAGCAGGTGCTCAATAGATGCCGTGGCTGTGGGGGTGAGTGCATGAGTGTCCTCCTTCTCAGGGAGGGCAGGGCGGGTCCTCCCTCGTGTCATCTGGAGGCCACCCCAGAGCAGAGGCCAGACTTCCCGGAACAGCCCTGGTGTGGGAGGAGCGGGCGCAGCATTGCCCAAGAGGGGATCAGAGTCCCCGGCCTCCCCGCCCGCCCGCCCGCCACACCCACGTCACGAGGGACTTGCTCATGGCCTGGCAGCGCTCCAGGAGGGTCCCCGGGAGGAGGAGGAGGAGGAGAAGGCAGGAGCCTCCTGCGTGGACTCCCTCCTTGGTCCCCCGGAACGTCCTGAAGGGAAGCGTGTGAGCCCTTGGGGTGAGGACGCCCAGGAGAGAGGAGGCCATAGGTCATCCGGAGGGGGCCCTGCGGGTGGCCTCCCCACACCCCTCCCTGCCCCTCTGTCCCCATGCGCATGGGTGCACCCTCAAGGCATGACCAGATTTGCACCAGGGCCAAAGGGCTGAGGAAACGGAAAAATGACAGGTGGCACTGACGGGGCGTCACGAGACGGTCCCGCAGACACAGTCACAACAGCGGCAGCCGTGAGCTCAGGGCCTCGGCAAATCGCTGAGGCTGGCTTTCAGCTCCCGATCCTCCTGCCTCAGCCTCTGCGGCAGCTGGCACGGAGGCGTGGCCACTGCACCTGGCTCAACTTTTAGTTTGAATTAATCAAAATGAAATAACATTGAAAATCCAGTTCCTGTTCCATGTCCCTCCTCCAGCTATTCAAGAGGCACCTGTGGCCTGTGATCCTGTTCTGAAAGGGTGGCTCCAAGCAAGGCGCAGGGGCAAGTGATCCCAGCCCTCAGGAGGCTGAGGCAGGAGGATCAGGGGTTCAAAGCCAGCCTCAGCCAAGGCACAGTAAGCGACTCAGTGAAATCCTGTCTCTAAATAAATACGGAAATAGGGCTGGGGCTGGGGCTCAGTGGCCAAATGCCCCTGAGTCCAATCCCTGGTACCCCCCAAAGGAAAAAAAAAACAGAAAGTGTGGGTCCCCTGTCTTAAGGCTCCCGCCCAGGAAGGCTGAGAACCCGCGTGTTGCTCTTCTGGATTTTGCAGCTGACCGCATGGCTTCTGCCAAGAAGCCTCCACTGGGCAGATGCAGCTGGAAAGCAGCCGCAGACGGGCACAGCGAGGGCGGGGCCGGGTGCCAATAAAGCTTTATTTATAAACGCAAATGAGGGCAGGGTCCGCCTGGGGGGCTGAGGAAAGAGCACAGACGTGGTGCTGAATGACATTGCAACGAGTCTCCGTGCCCCTTGCCCAGGTCCCTGTGCCTGGAGCAGGGCAGACACTGCAGTGGTCCCTTGGGTGGCTGCCTGCCACAGACTAAGGAGACTCCCGGCGCCGTGGCCGTGCGGGCGCCATCTGTCTCCGCGGCTGGGCATTGAACCCGCGCCCAGCGCTGAGCTGCGCCCCGTCCTTTCTGTTTTCTGAGACAGAGTCCTGCTGAGGCGTCTGCTCCCCGCCACCCCTGTCCTCCCCCCTGGTGACCCCTGCTCTTGTCTTTTCTTGGTCACCACTTTTCGGCGATTATGTCACTTAATATAATGTCCTCCAGGTCCCCTGAGTTGCTTGACTGACAGGTTGTCACTCATTTTTCTGGCTGATGCCGCCTCCTGTGCACTGACCACGCCTCGGCTGTCACTCGTGGAGCGTTTTGGTCGATTCGAGGGCAAGATGAAGGCGAAGTCCCCTGCAGCAGAGGTCTGCGGTGGCACCTGTGGCCCGGGAGGCAGGACCGGGAGGACGGCAGGGCCCAGGTGGCCAGGGCAGGAGGGAGGCCCCCTGAAACAGAAGCTAGAGACACAGACCCAACCTCCCCCAACCTCCTCCAAAGACATGGGGGAGGGGCCTGGGCCTGCGCCCACCCCTCAGCCACGCGCCCCACACGCCTGCTGCACAGCCTCCGGCCGGTTGCCTCCTGGGCACTGGCCCTGTGCCCTGCCGGCCAGCGAGCTCTCCAGGGAGCTTCTGGTTGGGGACCTTCTGTCCGCTGGCCTCGCTTCAACCACGGAGGCTGTCTTTTGGGTGCAGGGGACGCGCACTTCCTCCCAGCCCCCTGCTGCCCGAGGCCCTGTCCCGGGCACTTGCCCTCCACTGACCGCTCTCCGGGAGCCTCCTTGTGCTGCGCTCTGCCCCTGGGGGGCTGCTGGACGGGGCTGCCGCACCCTGAGCCACTTCCCAGCCCTGGTATCTTAAGACAGGGCCTCACTGAGTCGCTGAGGCTGAATTTCCCATCCTCCTGCCTCAGCCTCCAGAGTCGCTGGAATGACGGTGTGGCCCCTGCAGCCAGCTCGGGCGCTGGTGAGTCCCTTCCCTGAGGCCAGCAGAGGGACAACAGCTGTTTTTAGAAACGGGAACGGTGGTGGTCCTCGGGGAGGGACAGGTGACGTCTGTCCCCATTAAGGTCGGGTGGCCCAGGCCTGGCCTCCTCCCCGTGGGTCTCCACTGGAGGGAGGAGGAAGCCACTCACCCAAGGGCACTGTGTTCCCTGGAGTCATAAACGGGTGACAGAGCGGCGGAGTCCAGAAGCCACACGTCACCTGCTTCTCCCCCACTGCAGGTGCCCTCACCCCAGCGCTGGGCCAACATGGCCGCGGGGACTCCCCAGGGCCAACCCACACCCCTCAAGAGCCGACGCGGAGGGGAGACACGGGAGACCTGAGGCCAGGTCGAGGCCACTGCGGGCAGCCAGGGGGGGAGGACTGTCACAGGCCCCGGCACCGGGCAAACCTGCGGGTCCTTCTCTGGTGGGCGTCCTTGTCACCGCAGGGCGCTGAGCAGCACTCCTGGCCTCCACCCAGGCCTGGACACCCCAGTGGCCACACCACGGTGTCCCCAGGCAGCACCAGGGCCCCCTGGGGGCGACTTGTATAATGCAAGTTGTTGTCAGGGGAAGCGCCTCGGGCGCCGCGGCCCTCCTCCCCCTCCTCCCAGGAGGGAATGACCACTGGCCCATCAGGGAGCAAAGCCAGGTGTGAGGTCTCGTGAGCAAGGACACTGCTGTCCACCTGGCACCCAGCCTCGTGCCCTGTGCCCAGAAGCCTCGATTTTGTCATCCATTCACCGGTTTCCAACAGCTCCCCGCTGTGTTCACTCCAAACAAAACTCCTTCCCACCGCCGTGGCCCCTGCAAGAACTGCCTGTCCCCTCCCTGACTCCCTCCTCCTCACTCCAAACACCAGCCTCATCCCGCCCCAGGGCCTTGGCACGAGCTGTTCCTTCAGCCTGGCTCTGCCTCATGCTCCAGGCTCCTCCTCTGGGGGGTCTTCCGGCCCCGCAGTGGCCCTCGCCACGTGTCTGCCCTCCTTCACCTGGTACTCGTCTGCGCCCACCTCTAGCTTCTTCTTTACTGCTAGAGCCTAAAGCCGTGGCTGGCACACAGTAGGTGCTTAACAAGTAACAACTGTCTGAGCACCTACTATGTGCTAGGTCCTTTCTGAGACACTGGGGACTCAGCACTGAGCAAGAAATTCTACCCTGGTCCCTAAGGAGCCAGCATCCTAGGGAAGAGGAACAAGGGAAGACAAAAAACAAATACCATTTAAACTGGTTGAGAATCTAGTCCAAGTGCCAACACGATAAAGAGGCGGAGACAGGAGTCCTCTCTATTGGGGGCAAAGATGGCTGTCAGTGGACTGAGCTGATTCATAAACAATAAACACGGGCAGATATGCCAACAGATGGCCACAGAACAGGGAGGAGGGCACAGGAGGGGAGTTCAGGTAGCTCTCAGTGCAAAGGCCCTGAGGCAGGAAGTTTAGCTGGATCGATGTTGACTAATGAACCACAGATGATTCTAGAAGGACTTGACCGCAGGATTCGACAGTGGGGGGCAAGGAGCAGGCTGTCCCCCAGCTGGTCTTGGAGGCTGGGCAGGAGGTTGGCAGCTCAGATGAGGGAAGGGAGCTCCCAGAAAAGGTACCGGCTTTGTTCCAACCTGGGGACAGGACTGTCCCAGGGACGGTGAGCTGTCCCGACCCAATGTCCGGTGACTGAAGAAAAGAGTCCCTGAAAGTAGGAAAAAGGTCACGGCGCGGCCCAGACACCTAGGACTTTGGCCTTTGCCCACTGCAGGCTGGAGAGCACACAAGGAGATAACGGTCCGGCCCGCCCGCTGCCTGGGCCCCACTGGCCCTGGACCCTGTCCGTCTGCCCTGGCCACCAATCAACGCCCGGGGCTGGGCGAGCGCCTCGGGGTCTATTTCAGCATCTCCTGGGGGTGGTGACAGGGCACAGCCCGGAGCCAGCGGGTGGGTGGGCCTAGGGCTGGCAGCGGAGACCCTGGAGTGTGGAGGGGCCCATGGACGGGGGCCTAGCTGTTGAGGTGAGTGGTGGCTCCGGGCCCCACTGTGGCTGGGGCCACTCTGCAGATGGTTCCCGGCCGTCCAGTGTCCAGTACCGGGCTGCAGGGCGCAGGGGGAGACCCAGGCTGCGCCGCCCGCTCCTGGACCAGCCTTTCCCCGGGTCCCCGCCCGGGGCTGAGCTGGGGGGCGCCCGAGGGCTGGGACCTCACGCCATCTCTCCGCCCAGATGGCGTCCCCCGCCTGCGCCGTGGGCCCCCTGGACAGCCTGGAGCTCCTGGACCTGCTGTTTGACCGGCAGGACGGCGTCCTCAGACACGTGGAGCTGGC